CCGTGCACGGGACGGGGCGACTGGTGCGCTCACACCCATGCCCGGGATGGGGGCACTGGTGCGCTCACACCCATGCCCGGGATGGGGGCACTGGTGCTCACACCTGTGTGCGGGATGGGGGCACTGGCGCGCTCACACCCATGCCCGGGATGGGGGCACTGGCGCGCTCACACCCGTGCGTGGGATGGGGGCACTGGTCTTATTCCACAACACTGGCGCTCACACCCGTGCCCAGGGACATGGCACCCATTTCACCACCCCACTGTCTGACCTAGTTTAGTTACATCTGTGCAATTGTCCCCTGTTGCCAAGGCCTCGGGATCAAGCTGCCTTCCTTCCTTTTCATTTTTCTTTCTTTTCCTGCGGTGCCTCCTTTTCCGCCTCCGGCCCAACGGGCGCTTTTCTTTCGGGCACGCGGGGGAGCTGGGGAGGAAGCCCCCAGCTCCCCTTTATTTCCAGGGCGAGGAGAAAAGAGGTAGGAACGTCCTCAAAGCCTTGTGAAAAGTGACCCCTCCATGTCCCCCTCTGAGCCGGTGGGCGGCCCCGCGTGCCCCGTTCCTGCAGAGTTCGGAGGGACGATGCCGCCGAGCTGGGCCCTGGCCCCGACCGCACCCCCGGCGGGGCATAGCCAGTCCAAGCGAGAGGCATCCTGCGTCGCCAGACACACACACACACCCCGGACACGATCGCACGGGCACCGCCGGCAGCCGTGTCTTCGGGCTGACGCGGCCCACCCCTCCCCTCACGTAAAGGCCGGATGAGGGGTTTTTTTTTAAAGCGATAACAAGAACAAAGGAAAATAAAAGACTTTTCAAAACCAAACGATCGCTTTTAAAAATTGTAAATAATTAAAAAAAAAAACAATCGCAGTATTTATATGTGGCCGGGACAATTGTTTTCCTTTGTACGCTGGAGATTGCCAGGAGTGGGGGGAGGTTTATTAACTCCTCGCCCCCACACTGTCTAAGGATCGACAGGGTCCAGCCAAACCCTAGCCCTGGTGGCCCTTCCGGGTGTAACCCGGCACTTAGCGGCTGAGTCTCTGACAGTGACTGGATGTGGGGGCGTTGGGAACCAGATCCCTGCCGGCTAGACGGGGCTGGGCCGGTGTGGAGCTGGGAGCACAGTGGATGGGCAGGTCAATGCAGGATAGACCCACCGGCGACCCCCTCTCGGGATTTGCGCGGAGCAACGGGATGCCTGTGAAACAGACGTATGAAAAACCAGGAAGGCGGCGTGGGCCAAGGACACAGGGAAATCGGGTGGGATGACAGCCCGCTGGGAAATTGTCTTAAATTTTTATTTAATCTCCTGACACACGTATCAATGTGTATGTATATAATATATATATATATATGGATGGATGGATTGTTTCTGGTTTTGTATTGCAATGTCCTCGCATCGGATCATATCAAATACAGGCCCTCGTTGTCCCCGCGGCTCCGTTATTCAAATGGCTGATCTCATCGGGCGCGGCCCTGCTGGGAGACCAGGCCCACTCGCAGTGTGGGTGGGATCGAGGGCGGGGGGGACTTGTGTCTGCTCGCCAGCGTCCCCTGGGGCTGACGTGAGGAGCGGCGTTCAGCCACCCATGGCTGGAAAGGCCCCACGTGTGGTCGGAGGTGCAAACCCCTCAGGAATGGAGGTTCTTCGTAACTCTGAAATGTTCATAACTCTTAGGTGTGTTCTTTCAAAAATTTGCAACTGAACATTGACTTAATACAGCTCTGAAACTGGACTGTTCAGAAGAACCATGATGCTTTTCTTTGGTTTTTTTAGTAGTTTACATTTACGGGGGGTGGGGGGGTTGTTTTTTCTCTGCTGCTCCCTGGTTTCATACTTCTGGTTCCAAATGAGGTGTGTGGTTGACCGGTCAGTTCGTCACTCTGGTGTTTGTCACTCTGAGCTGCTCCTGTATGTTTAAATTCGATAGTTGATGCTCCTCCATCCACCCAAGTCCCTGGATCCGTGTCACGAACAGCCCAGGTTCATGGTGGTGCACGTTGTGGGCTGGACGGTGTCGGATTAAGGACAGCATGACAAATAACCTCCTATTTCTCCTCCGCCCCCCAATGAAACTGAACGGGGATTCAAAGGGTGGTATAAGAAATCATCCGAGGGGACGGCGGGAAGGGAGAGAAGGCCCGGGCACTCCTCAGCAGTATTTGTGATTGGCTTTAAGCTCTCGAAAACTAGGTGTGTGGTTCATTCTCCAGCAGTGCAGAAGAGCAGAAATCCCAGAGACACCCCCCCCCAAAATAGCCCTTCTCAAAAACCTCTTATCTCAGTGTTTCTCAACCTTTTGGATACCAGGGACCGGCTAGCTGCCTTCCTAAACGGTGCCAGGGAGATCTCAGGGAGTGGCGCCGGTCCATGGAGAAACGCTGCCTTAGATGATTCTAGCCAGAATCCACCCGTTAACATCGGCTGCACCCCAGAGAGGGTGGAACGTGGCCAGCACGTCTCAGCATGGGAAGGGGAGGAAGGATTCCTACAGGCATGGACCAGCCACTCCCGGATGGGGGCTGGATGGATATTTCCCCTCGGACAGAGCCTATAACTGCCAACTGCTGGGTTCTTGCTCGTTCCTCCAACGCAGCTGGTGCTGGGTAATGTCAGACCGAATCGTAGCAGGCATGGGCCGGTGGCGTGACCCAGTCCGGCAATGCCCGTGTTCCTAGGGAGAATGCTGGGGGAGGGGGGAGGACTCCAAACCGCTGCTGGCCCCCCTGTGGTTCCTGGCCTCTGCCTTTGGGAGCTGGACCTCAAAGCATATGTGCTGCTCATTCCTCCAGCCCCCTGGGGCCCCCAGCCATACACCCCACATGTGTGTGTCGGGGGGGGGGAATGGGGTAAATTGATGCTGGTTTGCTCTGATCTTTTCTTTTTTTTATTGACTTCTTTGTTGGTCGTTATTTAGTCTTGTTTGTTACTGAACTAAACGCTGTGTTTGTGGAGCCCGGTGACACAGAGCTGCCGGGGTGGGGGTCGTGTTTGTGGGGGGGGGTGCACCTGGGTCTATGTTTGGGCATGCGTGTGGGCATGTGCACGGGTGTGTACGGGTGTGTGTGGAATGGCAGCCCCCCTTGACGGGCCCAGGAGGCTTGGCCCAGCCAGCCCCAGTGAATCAGCCAGGCC